AGATTTAGATCATGCATTTCAGCTGGGTCAGGATGTTGACTTACTGTAGCCCCGTATGTAGGTGAGTTCACTGTGGGAAGAATGCTGCTGGAGGGGCTGAGAGTACCACAGCTGCTGGGGGAATCAACTAATATCCGGATATTAGGGCGAGATATGCCCTGCACAATGCATTGGCCAATAGCAGTTGCCCTACGTTGAGTGTTAGCCAAGTTGTTAAAGCGAGCCAGGCTGTCAGGCAGCAGACAAAGGTTGGCTGAAGCAAAGACAAATGACGCCTTACCAGTCAGCTCAAAGCCCTTGTTTGTTGCCTTCTCTGGTAAGGATGGTATCTCTCTGTGGTAGCTAAATGGCCTGCGGCAGGCCTGAAGAGGTGCCCAAAGCAGAAAGCCAAGAAAAGCCAAAGGGGCAGTAGCGAGAAAAAGAATAAAGAAGGTAATGGAGCCAAAAAAGACCTCGAGGGGGCGAAGATAGCATTCCTGTTCCAGCCGCTGACTTTGCTCCAGAGTGGTGGACTTGCACACAGCAATGAGGCGATCAAGAAACCAGAAACATGGCACGATAAAAGCCCATCCCACAGCATGGATGCCTGCAACAAAGCCATTAGGAAAGGCAGAAGCCTGCAGGGCCATGTTGATTTACAGTCTCTAAACAACAATCAACAACGTCAGAGCTTCTCGGCCTGGCCTCATTCCTGTGCAGCGTCTCCTCTTCATGGGATCCACTGGACACTGAAACAAGAAAAAGGAAATAATCGTTCTCATGGAATAACCTGCTTTACGACTTCATGCCCGTACATGCATTTCTGGAAAGCATGAAGCAACTGGCATCTGCACAGAACTGAAGGCAGTATAATCAAATGCACAGGAAACAACAGACAGCTTACTCATTGTTTACACAATGCATAATGATTGCTTTTAAAAGAAGAGGGAAAAAAACATGCTTGAAACAGCCTTGACATTATCCAGCTGTCACCATCTGTAGAGTTTTTATTTAACTAAAGGCAGAGTAAGGCTTCAGTGAAAATTTGCCTTGAGCACCACACCTTTGTGTCTTTACAGATCTAACACACCATCTAAGGCCCATGAGTTTATGTAAAGTAAAACAGTACAAATGTTTATCTTGTTCAAACCTTGTACTGCTGCTTTTTGTCGTTTGAAAAGCACATACATACAATTATATCGATCCAAGGCGAGCATATTCTCTATCAGGGCGTTAACTGTAGCAATATGAACTGGTGATGCATTTAATTCACAGTGAAAATCCAGATCATACTACAAACACTGCTTAACAATGGACCCCCAGGGTGGTGCGTTCAAAGGTTGAGGACCATTTCTGACTTTCGATTAACATTCCTAACTATTAAAAAAAATCACGGAATAAAACTAGGTTACACAAACACAGGCTAACGTAACTTAAATCATCATCTAGCCTCTTAATCAGCAAGAGATCTCTGTGCCACTGCTCGCAACATACTTGTACAGGTAAATGTAGCTGAATAACACGTTCTCTCTTCATCGGCCATCTGCAAGTAAGCTTAAGCTAACCGTTTCACTTCTCAAATTCATACTTTTGAATTCCCACAATCTTTTTCTCAGTAAATGCTAACACTTCTCTTTACATGTCGTTTATCATTATACACCCTTGATGTTGCATTGCTAGCTTAAAACACCAGCTAACGTGGAAGTCACACGTCTACTTACCTTAGCATGTAAACTGGCATAGTCCGTCTGATGAACCCACACAACGAGCAGCCGGTTGAAATGTTTATTTTATTTCATTTCTTTGTATTGTTCGCACATGCTCGGTAGAAAACACGTACGGTCTAGCTTGAAAGCAGATAATAACATTAGTAAAGCAGTCCTTTTGAACATACATAAAACCATATTGCTCTTATTGCTCGGTGTGTGTCACGTTATTAAGCCACACCCCTACAGAGTTGTCATGGTGTCTGCCCCGTATGGCACGTGACCTCACCTGGGGCGACCTACAGCATCAGCTGCTGTTGTTCGCCAAATGAAAAACTGCATTGAATTTGATATTTCTAAGTCACTGTGCTGTTTATTTTCCATACATGTGTTTTTTTCTTGAATTGTTTTAAGTATATTTACTTATTGTTAGTGACGTAAATATGACTTAACGTAACAAATGAAACTTTCCGATAATAACAGTAAAATAATAAAGTCCTACTTGACGACAAACTAAACTACATACTGCGGAGCCAGCAACTGTCCTGCTTCAATTTCAGTTTTTAAAAATGCATAGCATATACAGTACTGTGCAAAAGTCTTGTGTCAACCCTAACGTAACTTTTAGATACTGTTCATCTGCTGTAGATAGATTTTAGACTCCCTTCTCCCTTTGTCCTAAACTTATCCAATTTCCTCTTATTTATTCATTCATTTATGTATTTATTAGGGACGAACTGCACAACATGGTAACAACAGCTCTTTGTAAATCACCTTTTAGGTGCAGAAACAGTATTTTATGTCAAACTGTGTCGTCTCACGTGGTTTAACAGACAAGCAAACAAACAAATTCGTCTGACTTAATCAGGCTGAGGAAGCAGCCAATGTGCAAAGAAAAACTTTGATAGATCCTCAGAAATCCCGAAAAGTTATTTTTCAGGACTATTTAAAAATGACAAGAACGTCACTGCAAGCAAAAATGAGGGGTGCCTTGAGATTTTAGAAAGTACTGTAGAATAACAGATTACTTCACATGTGAAACAAAGCGAGGAAACAGAACTCCAGATTGCATTAGACCTATATCGGCCATTTTGTAGTATCACCTCTTTAAAGTTAGGTCCACGAAAACTTCCTGATGCTGTATCTCATGATCCCCAATGTTGGGGATACCATAGCAGTCCACACTGCACTGAATATTGGCTGAAATCAAATTACTGTTAAGACATCTGTCATCAAGCTGTGCTTCTTATTTGTGTGTGACAGTTTTAAACCCCCTGGATACTTCATTGTTTTTCTGGTTAAATAAAGCTGGCTGATTGGTGTTGTTGAAATGACTAAACACATGTGCAATTGTGAGTTTCATTTTTGGGTTTCTCTATCAAATAGCAGACATTTTTCATTAAGCACAAAATCATAGACACACATTATTTGCTATGTCGAATCATTTATTCCAGCTTCAGGATGGTGCAAAGCCAAATTTGGATCTGGAGCTACCAAAAAAGAAGTGGCTTTCTGTCCATTTCTGCCATCATGCAGAGGCAAGTGAGCACAACCAGCAGGTCCTTGTGAAGCTTTCTAGGTGCAGTGGTCATTATCACCTTCTTCAGGAAGTCTGGATTATTGTAGTCCATTTCCTGTGTGCTGTGTTCACTTGGCCTTTCCGTTAGGATCCCGTAGGTGTTCACAATGAACTCAGTAAAAGGAGGGTGAAGTGCTTCTTTATACCCACGCTGGCTCAGCCTTTCCACGAGCTCTGCATGCCTCTGAGTGAGATGAAGCTGATAGCCTTGGTCCACCTTCCCTGTCAGTGGATGTGTGCTAACCTGTAATGAGTAAATAAAAGGTGAATATGAGCACTGCCATATTAAACAGGAAACTCCTCAACAGACACATTTGTACTAATTAAATTGAGCTCCTCATTATATCATTGTGATAATTCTTACCTCTATGATCTTGCTTGGTATATTGGCCATTATGAAACCGTAGAGCCTCGTGTGACCCTGGAAGATGTAGGAGAGAATTCTCCTATCCAGCTGATAGCAAATCTCTCCAAGAAGCCTGTTTGGGGCTGAAGATAGAAAATAAAAATGAATTATTTCTTTCTTAGAGTGTCAACAGTGCAATTACAGCTCAAACATTTTCTGCATTTGAAGTAACAATCACCCTTGCTGTCAAGAAGAACATCAGTTCTGCGGCTGTGACGCTCAGCTGTCTCATCTGCGTCTGTGTGCAGAGAGCTTTGGATGAAAGACTTGAAGTCGATGGGAGACGAAGATCGATGTTCCCATTTGGGTTTGGTTTGTTGCAAGTCTTTTCTGAATTGTTTCTCATCAAAGGTGTGCTGCCACTGAGTTAATGGTTCTGTTCCTGAGATGGAGCAAACTGATAAAAAACAACGGCCTTGTTATTCGTCATTAATAACAAGCAGAAAATCAGAGGTATGTGCACAGTGAAAGTTGTCTAATAAACCAGTGATTATTGCAAAAGCTTTTCTTTGATTGTAACTCCAGAGTGGAGGCGTAACCCCATCACACTTGTTTCAGTCCTTCTGAGCTGGTTGACCCCATGGCATAGACCTGATTTTAAAGTATGGATTAACCGAAGGATTAGAGAGTGTGTGTCTGTAATGACATTACCCCCAAAATGTCCCATTTTATAACCCAATTTGACTTAAATTACCCCTTTTATCTCTCTAGTACTTTATATTATCGTACTGTATTTGAACCACTCTTTTTTTAACCACAGATGCCTGAAAAGCATGTTGCTCGTAATATGCAGGATAACAAATACGCCTCTATAAATTAAATTAAATAAAAGCAATTGTCATTATGCTGCACATGCATTTACCAAGGATCTATTGTTGCCCTCGCTAGCCTTTGTACGCTTCAAAGAACGGGGCAATGCCATTCAAACAATTAACTTGAAAATACTTTAATGTACACTGAAAATAATATTTATTAGTCATTAATACAGAGAGATTGAGGACAAAGTGATTGGACCCAGGCTATTTTTCTTTAAAATAGCCTGGGTCCATTTATTCTACTACGAAGTGTTGTTTTTTAAAATGCTGGATCTACATATTAAGGACGATTAATAAAATACAGAAAAAAGATATTTATAAATGCTTACACTTTACTATACATCACGTAGACATAACATTACTTGTTTAAAGAAGTAAAAAATATAGATTTCTAAGCAAAGCCAGTCAGAAGTCAACACTGATGCCACCACCTGGTGGCAAAGAAAACCACAATACCTGTTAATTCCTCCAGAGTGTCTTTGTTGAAGCTCTCCATCCTAGCTCTGAGGTCTATGTTTTCTTTGACCACACTTAATATCGACTTCAGCTGATCATTGTCCTGCCTGAGCTGGTCATTTTTTAACCGCAAGGCCACAGCAGTTTGCTCCAGATTCATTGGAGGGTCTCAGTTTCACAGCTAAGCCGCAAAATGCCCTCAAAACAAAACTGTATCAATTCAAATGACAACAGAACTCTGGCAGCAGTTGACTTTGACAGGATTCTTTTAGTTCAATGAAAACAGAGAAAGAGAGAGAGAGAGAGAGAGAGAAAGAGAGAGAGAGAAAGAGAGAGCGCATCAAGATTTTAAGTTTCCTCGATACATGAAGGAATGACCATTAATTCATCACTTTTTAAAAGGTTTCATCATTGGATTAATCTTGCCTAGCTGTCATGGAGTCGCATACATTTATATTTAGGTTTGGCTGCAGTTACGGTTTCATCTACTGCACATTTTAGCCCTTCTTATTTCTGCTGTTTTTTTTAGGTTAAGCATTAAAGATTCACTTTTGATCCCAGCAAACAAAAATTTGACAAAACAATCCCAAAGTCCACATGCTAATGAGACTAGATATCAACAAAGCATTCTTCTGGCTAATTAAAACTCCTCCTGGTAAAAAAAACAAACAAAAAAAACCACCAAAACAAAAAGAAAAAACCTTGGGATCATTTTGGCAAACCTTTGTCCTTTTTAATGGTTTTGTTTGGCATAGGATACAATTTTCTAAACCAAAATACAAGTTTTGTACATATACTGCAGAAAACTAGCAATCTCTAAGCTGGAGGCTATGTGGTCCTATTTGCACTACATAGCATCATACAAAAACTACATTTACTGGGTGAGGCAAAAGCAATCTTCAACTATGTAACGAATACACACTACAAAGCAAAGCAAAAATCAACATTATCAGAATTCGCTTCTGTGTTTGAACAGAAAACAGTTTTGATTGTCGCTCCCTTTGCTCAGCCTCCTCTGGCTCTGCCAATGATGGCGAGAATGTAGAGGAAGATGTTGATGATGTCTGTGTACAGGTTTAGAGCAGCAAAGACGTATTCCTCGGGACTCAGGGCCAGTTCCTTGTTGCCAAGAAGCATCTGAGTGTCCACAGCCAAGAACTGCAACACACAAATTTAATACAGTCAAAGATTTTCAGCAATAAATAACAGGAAAAAAAAAAAAAGAAGTAAAATTTATATATAAAGATCTGACTTCTGTTCATGTGTGGTGCAACATTAGTTCCAGTTTCCATTATCCAAATTACAGTTAGCGCCACTATCAAGCTACGGAGATAGGTTGGTTTCATTTTGCTTGTCCAGATGAACATTCAAATAACCTTTAAAGCTTCAATAATGTGTCTCTGCGAAACCACCACTCTGTTATTCACTTTCACTTTATTCCCTTTCCGACCAGACTCAACATGCCATTCGTTTAAATGTACACTCACCGGTCACTTCACTGGGTACACTGGTTTAACTGCTTGTTAAAGCAAATATCTAATTAGCCAATAACAAGGCAGGAATATGTAGCTACAGCTAAAATGAGCACCAGAATGGGTGGAACCTTGGCAGATAGGCTACAGCAGCAGAAAACCACACCGGGTGCAAGGTCAGAATTTGGTGTAAATTATAAAAAAGCATGGATCCATCCTGCCATGTAGAATTAGAGTTCTGAGAGCAAAACGGGATCTAGCCTGGTACAGCTAACAGTGTCTGGTGAGTGTAGTCCTTTAATTATTAAAAAGCTGTTCTGTGATGGTAATGTTTCTGAAAACAAACACTGCTGTCACACCGAATGTTTACATCTTTAATGCTGCCTGGGGTGCTGTGGCAAGTCTGGGTTGAAGACAGGTGTTTCGTAAAGTCTGTCTTGTTCATTTCTTTCTTCCTTATTTTCTGTGACTGTCTGCTCCTTCTTATAACCACTGACCAGACTTCTGTGAAAAGCATCTGTATGAAATTCAGCCACAAGGTACATGAATAAACCCTGAACTCTAAAGAAAGACCCTAAACAAATGTCAGCTGATTACTGTTGTTTTGATGTGTGACCAATTTAGATTAGGTTACAGCATCACAAAATAAAAGCACCAACACAAAATTTCGCACAAATCCGACCTAGCAGTAGTGACAAGTTTGTTTAAGGACTTACACAGGTGAAGAGTAATGCTCCCAGTCCAGCATAGACAATATGCAGGATTTTGTCACGGATGAAGATGCAGAGGAAGCCAAAGACGATCAAGACAATTAAACAGACGAAAAGTACCCCGTAACAGGAAGTAAAGTCATACTTGGTCTGTTGGAAGAAGAAAAACCTATGATTATTTACATATTGAAGAATGATTAACGCACTCGACATGTAGACCAGAGGCAGAGATCTACAGGTACAAACCTGCAGAGAGAAGATGACCACCGTGAAGCACACAATTGCTGTGATGCCCACAGCCATGATCACCGAATCGGTTTCATGGAAGCTGGCGATCATTCCCACCATGTAGGACATACTTAGAGTCAAAATGGACTGTAAAGAAGACAAGCACAGTACATCAGCGGGCAGATAAATCACAGATGATTTTAAAGTTACACAACTTTTTACTGTAAACCTCAAGTACAAAATGTCAACACTTTAGGACAAAAGCTGCCCGACCCCTCGACTTCTTATAAATTAACCAACTCAGTTTTTGAAAGAAGGAGTTACATAAGTGCAAGTAGGATTTCCTTCCCCAAAATCTACACAGTGATGAAAACACCCCCTGGCTTACCAGTGCAACCAGGTTCCAAGGGTGTCTACGACGAACATTTCCACAGCAGCTGATCACGCAAATGGACACAAAGAACACAATGTAGGACACCAAATATGTCCACATGTTCGCCGCTACAAACACCTTGACCTGTTCCACAAAGGTGAAAACAGCCACGAATGCGAATGTCACCATGAGCTGAGCGGTTAACACCAAGAATACCTGTAGGGAAAAGTGAACACACATTTGTAAATAATAAACAAGGTAAATATCTTGTTTGTACTGAAGGATCTGTTTGACCCTACCAAGTAGGAAATATTAGTTTTAGTCATTTGTTTCAGCTTTAAGTAACATAACCCTGCTGATTATTTCAAAGATACTTGATGAAAATATTACAAATATATGTGGCTCAAAATAACCGAAGCATCTTCTTACCTTTCGTATAAACGCTCGTCGTATGGTCTTGTTATCCAATCCAAAATCAAACTCTTGATTCTCATGAAAAGCTGGTGGATCCTCATTATGGAAAACTTCTCCTGCAATGGCAATGACAAACTGAGAACAAAGTTAAAAGAAAAAAAAAAGTGGCAGTGTTTCAAACACCCACCTGCGATATTTTCATTAAAGCCATATGCTGGTGGAGGATATGCAGGATATGATGGGTTGGCGAATCCTGACTGTCCTTGGTTGGGGTTCACGGCCATTCCGAAATCTCCCGGGACACCGGGTGCAAACGCAGTCGGTGGAGGGAAGGGATGGACACCAGCACCAGGTACGTGGCCCTCGAGCGTACTTGGACCCGGCACGTTCGTGCCAAAGGCAACGGGAAATGCTGGCTGCCCGGGGAGAGGTGGCTGAGATGCTCCCACCACCACGGGAGTGTATTCAGTCTTCTCGGTAGTCATCTCCGCCTTAGATCAGGAGCAGATACCGTCCGGTGCGCAGGGATACGAGATAACCTCTGAAAAGCATAAAATACAAAGAAGAACAACAAATATGCTACTTGACAGATAATGTTGGCGGCGAGTATACACATACACACGCAGCGATACAGAAGTCACGTGGAAGCGGTTACTTCCGGTACCTATTGTTTTCCCACAAACACCGATATCTCAATTAAAACAAGCGTTTTGTAACCACTGTACATATTGTCAGTGCTTCTGCCGCTAGCACGAGTCCACATGTGCAGCTCACTTGACACCAGGGTCGAAAAAAAAAGAATCGGCACCGTTTGAAACATCCCGAGAATCGCGAGGTTTACAGGATAAAAGAAATAGGCCACAAATCTGACTTTCATCCACGAAACGACCCTTTAGCTCACGTATTCTGCCCTCTGAATTAAAATAAGACATGGGAATACATGTCATATTTCTGACAAAGAACGAATTAGCATGTGAGTTTTTTCTGTTAAATTGATTAACATAATATAGACATGTTTTTCTTTAATAAAAAAAAAGGCAGGCTAGGAAGCAGAGATCAACAGTTATGATAGCTGAAGTCTCTAAATGCTACTCACAGTGCTGGGAAGAAACGTTTCAGTTCCAAATGGCTTCCCTTTGAATCATTTGTGGCTGTCGTTTTGCAGGTTTTTTGAATTTTAAGGCACTGTGATTGCTAAAGAACGACTTCCTCTTAACGCGCTCGACAGACGGAATGCGTTCACGAAACATGGGAGAAATGGGACAGGTGATTCCGATGTTCTCACCGCAATGATTTGCGAGCTTTTTCTTTCCGTAAAGATAGAAAGATAAAGATAGAAAGTTTTCTGATAGGACACTGGCTATATATATATATATATATATATATATATACATATATTATATATGAAATTAATATATATATATATATATATATATATATATATATATATATATAAAAAATATATTATATATATAGTTGTTTTTTTTTAAATACGTCACATAAACACCAAAACTCGATATCAACTAACCATGTTTAAATTTATTTTAAATTAGTTACTTTGACCGACGTCAGGTCATGTTCGCTTAACTTTCACGTGATTAACCAGCATTTTTGTAAGAGAAGATTTCGCCCCCTATGTCATTGGTATTCAACGTATAGTGTGTGCATAAATGCTTTAGCAAATCTTAAAATTAAAAACAAATCAAAGAACCTCCTTAAGTAATTTTGATATGGCTTGAATGCGTCAGGCCTGGCAGTGCCGCTGGCCTTCAGCTCCGCCCAACGTGTGAGTAAAATTGAAAGTAATGTGCTCGATGTGAGACAGGCGTTCGTGGGAAAACATAACCACAGAGCTCAAGGTGTCACGACTCAATGGTGTGCAATACTCACATTAACCAGCAGGTGTCAGGAGGCAGCAGCTTTGGTAAGAAAAACCGAGAGATATTAGAGAAAAATCGTTTATTAGACCTGACACAGAACCTGACCTATAAGCGGTTCCATCTGCTGTTCACTGAAGCCTCATCAAAAATGGTCTCAGAGGAAGGTGGCTGTCAAGACGCCATTCTCAAGGATTGTCAGCCCTGAACATGAGTGAGGACACATTTTATGGAGTGATGAATCCAAAGGTGAAGGTTTTGGGTTCAAATCATCATCGGTATGAATGGAAGAGGTCAGGAGAGATATAGAACAGCGAGTGTTTACAGCTATCCCTAAAACACAGTCATCTTGATGGAGAACAGAGCAAAAGGCAGCCAACATCCAAAGAACAGCTTTAAACGTCCTTTTAGAAACCTGGAGAATCTTCTTTCATACTGCCAAACAATTAAACAAGAACACAGAAACAGTTGAAGGTAAATTTCGATTTATTTCCCAAATAAAATATCTGTATAGTTGAGTCATGCATTACAAGGTCAACAGCTGTCGCTCTTGCATCAGAAAACCTTTAATGTCAAAAGACATAAAATGTGATCAATTTTAAAAACAGCCTCTCAGTTATCAAATTAGTCAAGTATCAAAAGTGACATTAAAGAGCTATTAATCTATTAGACAACATAAAAACAACAGAACAGTATAGAAAAAAAGAAACACTTTAAAGTTACTGCTACCTTTCCACTCATCATTTGTTCTTTATACAGACGACAGCTTTGCAAAGCCGAGCGTTCACATCCATCATATGCTCTTGATCATGAGAAATGCAGCAGCACACATGGACATGTTCCACAGTAGACTTTTATACTAACATATGAAAACAAAGGGTTTATTGCTGTAAGGCTCCATAATAAATACATAAATAGCATAATTTAAACACACGATGAAACATTTTATGAAAATGAAAGATTCACATTCAACAGCGTTTCTTCCCTTTAGCTGAACATACTTGAGTGATTAAAAGGGAAGACGCGCGAGTGCTTTTACCAGCTTCAGCTGTCACCAGAGCATTTTGTCTTATGTACCGCAGAAAAAAAAAACTTTTTAAAAGGGATTTCTTTTCCCAAGGGTCTCTAATCTACCTCACTCCAAACAATAATATATATGTGTGTGTATATATATATATATATATAAAGTCTTAATAAACACTGACGTTTCCATCAGTGCCTGGATAGCTTTGTGAAACAAAAAGAAAAAAAATGGTCCTAAACTATTTCAATACTGAGAACTGCATGAAGGTGTAACATACTGTCGCCAGGTGTTATCGCTGATTTTTAAATTAGCGTGGAAGAAATCTGATCATAAGACATGAATGCACTTTGGACTTACCCCTGCAACATATATACAAAACTCAGCAACAGCTGTCTTGATGTCCAGTGAGTCAACTTCAGTTAACCTGACAAATTTTTTACTACTGAATAAATATTAAATATTCATTTATATCCAATACTGATCTCACTTGAATAAAATATACATTCCTCACTTGTCTCAACGTTGTCTTCTCGCTCTTTGGTAGAGGTTCTGCTTAGTTAAAACCTGGAAGTGACAACCTTTCTTTTCTTTTTAAATCAGCCTCAATCTGTCTGCATCTCCTCCCTTCACCCTCTTCGTGGAAAGAGCTCACCTCCCCTTCTTTTCTTTCTGTAAGGTAGTCTTAAAGGTTTTACTGCATGCGATCTGTCTGGAGCTGCTGAGGCTGATACTGACTGAAGGCCGCAGCAGCTGCTGCTGCTCCTGGGGTGGCAGCAGTGGCAAGCGGCTGCTGGACAGCGTACCCATACCCCGCTGTAGTCATGTAGCTCGTCGGTGCTGGTGAAGCTGCGTACGGATACTGCTCATAGGCAGCAGCTGCAGCAGCAGCAGTCGCAGCAGCTGCAGAGTACTGGGCATAAGCTGCTCCAGTATAGTCAAGGTATGGGGAAGTGGCAGCGGCAGCTGTTGCTGTAGCCGCAGACGGTTGTACATGAGGGATCACCACGCTGGGTTGGACAAAGGCTTGAGGGAAGACATAATGAGCTGGGATCCTGTAGGACACAAAGATGCACAGGGTCAGAACAGAGCCACAGTCAGTCATCTTTCCAACGCTGGAAAACTGAAAAGCAGGTGCCAAATATGTCAGTCCAGTCCTCAGAACACAGCAAATCCATTCATTAACGGAAAAAATAAAAACCCTACCTAGAAATGAAACGTTAAAAAGCAGCAAAAACCACAAAGAAACACAAGCGTAGCTTTAAATTTCAAAAAGCACCCGAATCTGAAACACAGTGAGGCATTAAAAGAAGACATAGCCAAGCTCTGCACCCCAACGCTTCACTGAAAACCGTATTTGACAAAATGCGAGCTTATCGCAAAAACACAACATATCAGTTCGAGAAATGGACATGGTTCTGCCCACATACTGCAACACCAACACCACACATACAAGCATGCCCACACATGTTAATAGGTCCTTAAACGCAAAAGAAAAAGAAAAAGAGAAAAATGACTGTTTTGCACGTAGCTGTTAAAGTAACCATACAGCATCTTATCAAAAGTAGGTGCTTAGCTGTATCATGTTGTGCAGATGGCTGTTTGAAAAAGAAATAAACAAGACTGTGTAATAAAGGGACATCTCCATTTGATGATGATGGAAACATACAACCTTTGTATCTGGGTAAACTTGCCTCCACTTTAAACTTCTGTCAGAGTCACGCTAACCAAATACACCGAGGAGCAGGTGTAAAGTATATTTATCCACTGACACGTGCACCTCTTCTACCCTTCCAGACATACCACCACCCCGCGCAAATACACACGCACGGCCAACTTGAGTGACAAGGGAGGCTGGCTGCATGCTATTTTTGCTCCTCTTGTCATCGCAAAAGGACAAGCTGATCTTCTCCTTCAGTGACACATGGCAGAGCTCTCCTCAACAACTGCCTACACCTCACTACGATCAGACTGAAGGTGTCCCCACTGATAAGTGAAAATGGGAGGCGAAACAAAGGCTAACTCTTTTGTCTTATAGAGGCACATCGATTCCAGAAAACTCCCAATGCTTATTTTTGAGCGTGACCCGTCTAATTACTTTAACAGCTTTCAACTTGACAAGACAGAAACCATCACGCTGGTATCCTCGCTTTGTGACGCAACTTGGTTTTACTACAAAGTGTTTAAATGCTGTAAAGGTCACAGCTGACTTTAAGTGTGACTACTGAAAGGAGGGCATGGAGGTTTTGTCGTCCTGCAAGTGGAGAGCTAAATAAAGGTGCATTGTAAATCACCAGGGCACATGGGTAATCCCCAGCACATAACCAAAACGCCTCATGGGCGCATGGCTCGTCCCACCTGTCGTCCGCAGCCGAGCGGCTCCGTCTCTGCCATACATTATTAACAGCGCTGCTGAGTGACTCCCTTTTTTCCATCTGAATTTGAGAGGCCATGCGGATCACTGTAGCCAACAGCTGCTGCCTAAGAGACGAGCTAAGAGCTCTTGTCTTCACCCTATATTGCAGGGACTATATGAGCACACCTAAACTCATGTGTCACAGCTAAAATAATGAATTCATAACACTAAAATTTCAGCAGAGTGATCCAGCTTTAATTTGAAACCTTTTTGTTAAAAAAATAACTTACTTCACCAAAGCACAGCCTTTCTGCAAAGAGGGAGGCAATCGAACACACTCATACACACCACTTGAGTGATGGCAAAAAAAACCCACTGAATATTTGTGACTGATCAGAAAGAAAATGTTCAGTATATGTACCTGTAGATGTAAGCTACAAATGAAAGCAGTAGGTTAATTGAGAAAAAAAAAAAACAATAAAAAAAAACAAAACAAAACACAGCATCATGGGTAAGGAAACAGAAAATGAACTCCCACATGCAAGCCAGTGTTTGTTTTGTTGCCGGGGATTGAATTTGAAATTAACACACTGAGTGATCGTCAACCCCAACCCCTTTTGACAACAAAACACAGTGAACTTCATGTTAACCAGAAACCAGGAATAAATAAATAAAAACACAGGCTAAAGCACAATCATTAAAACGGGAAAAAGAATCAACACCCCATCGCAGAGTTATAACTCCCTATGATGACTGGAAAAGTCTGTATGAAAAAATCCCCTTCTGAACGCCCCACATCCCCCACTGCAAGTAGAAGTAAGCACACAGTTAAGCTGAACGCCACATCATACTGAAAACAAGGCACACACCAATCTATGTACTATGGAAAACTGAAAAAAAAAAAATCATCAAAGAAAACAACAACAGCAGAAGATTTCCATGCATCTAGTCACCATTTCTGTTCGTTTGTGTATGTCAGAGTATACAGGTAACACTTTAGCGCTCTGCCC